ACACACACACACACACACACAATCAAAGAGCTAGACAATGGAAACTGAAATGGACATTGGGTTTACATAGAAGTTCTGATATGGTGGTTTCCAGAAACAAGGGGGCCCCGAAAATGGGACTCCTAATTTACAGAAACCCTCCCCATAAGACCATTCTATAAAGCCCGTATCTGTTTAAGTTTCCTCTTTCCTTTCCAGTTGATCCTCCATGAGGGGTAATCCCGAGTCTTTGAAATCCCAAACCCTAGATGTATCACGAAAAGGTAGCTTCCCAATGTACACCCCAAAAGACTATAGGCCTTGTTTCGGAGACTCCCAGACAGGTACCCCTAATTTTGGAAAGCCTTAATCCCTAAACCCTGGTCCCTAAACCCTGATCCCTATATCCCAGCCGCAAAAATTAGTCCCTACACCCTAAACCCTAGATATCCCTTATAGTCCCCTTTAACGTCTCTCTTGAAGAAGGCATCCAAGAGCTATCCACTGAGGCCACGACAAAATCCAGTCGGATCTCGACTCGCTGCACGCCCAGGCCAGGTCTCCTTCGCATGAGTCGTTTACACTAGAGATTCTATGGTTTAGGGTTCTATGGTTGTGTAGGGTTTGGGGTTTAGGGTTGACAGATATGGCCAATATTTTTGTGGCGTCAGGTTCTCAACGAGGTCCATACGGCTGTGGCCCAGGAGTTGCGTCTTGCCGCGCGCGTTTGAGAACGGAAAGGCTCTTTGGAACTGGACGCGCGCCTGGCCTCAGGAGATTCAGAACTCCGCTCGCGGGCTTTATGCTTTGAAGAGCCAGGTGGGTTATTCTCAAAATTATGAGCCCCTTTTGGATGTGAACTATATTGCGGCAGCTAGTCTTTGGGATACCAAAAAGGGACCCTGATTTTTGAAGTGCCAGTTTCGTTGCAGCTGTTCGTGGGCATGTGGTTTAACTGGATTGTTGTGACCATACATGACCTTTAATAACGCCAGGGCATGTATTTACTATCATGTACGAGTATTGCAGCAACATGTTGGCCGCTTGCAGCCTTGAACTCTTGTGTCCTGGAGGTAAACTCCGACATTGATGGCTTGCACTCCTCACTTAGTATGCTCCTGAGAGCAGCTGACACTTGTGGAACCGGAATAATCCCCCTCCCCTTTGATTCATATTCAACCCCCCCCCCCTTAATACAAAGAACCATTCCCACTAAATTGAACTTTACCACAATGGGAGTATTTGACATTAGGTGGGGTGAAGGGGTTAATATTAGGAGGACAGGATTAGTTGGCAAGAGTCGGAGCCACGGTCCCCAGAGAAGCTTTTGTAGAGTGTGCTTAATCACATGACCCACAAGGCGATCTCTCCAAAGACGTGAAGTGCTCCCGCGCATGGCTTGTCGCGCGTGCTTGGTCCCTGCCTAACATGATTAGTATAGTAGTAGCAGTGGTGGTGGTGGTGGTGGTGGTGGTGGTGGTGGTGGTAGTAGTAGCAGCAGTAGTAGCAACAGCAGCAGCTAGTAGTAATACTAGCAATAATGGTAATGCTAGTAATGGTAGCTCTAGTCGGCGCAGAGCTGAGACACAAGCAGAGATGCCTGAAGCGATGGCTTCGGAAATAACATCAAAACACATCAGGACCAGCCGGTGCTTCTGCCCAAGTCCATGCCAGGCTCTTGCAGGCGCAACGGAATCGCGACAACGAAGAAGTTTCGAGTGCCATCCTGGAGGCACAAAAGCCATACTGTTGGATTGTTGCGATTTCTCGCCTTTGCTTCAGAATCTGTTTGTGCACGGCCCGTGTGGGCTCGAAACCTTGCTGGATCTGGCAGTAGTGAGTGCCTGAGCCCGCAAGTCCCGGGGTGCGGCAAGTCAACAATAGTTTGGCTGGCAACCGGGCCATGTGGAAGCCATTCGCGCAGAGTGGCCTAGAAGCAATGCATGCCCCCGCACCGTAGCGAGTCCCGGCTGCACATTTGAAGTTTCGGAGAGCTGGGCCCTAGTTGTGAAGGCTGTGCTCAGGCCCACCTAGAAAAAGGGGATTGCCAACTTGGGGCGGTTGTTTGGGGGTCATCTGGGAGAGGGTAAGCAGAGGAGAACAGGACTAGATCTGGGTATGTGTGTTCCATACGCCTGCCCGCCACAGGCTGAGATGAGCTGTAGTCTAAACTCCGTAAAGCGGGTTGATGTAGAGGATATGTATGTATGGGACTACTATAGGGGTCATTAAGGGGGATGCTGGGAGTTTAGACTCTAGCTCAGATGAATTGGTAAAGCTCCTGTTGCCCAAGGAAACCGAACTACATGACCTCTGGGTGCGAGTTAAGGGTGTAAGCGGCTCGGCTTAAACAGCGAAGCAACTTGGCCCGCATTCAATCGGTAGTGTCCATAAATAAGGGACCCCAATGTTCCCTCAAATATTAGGATCCGTATTATCGGGACCCCTAAAAGAGAACTTTTGGGAAACCTCAAAATATTTTGGAAAGCAAGATGTAAATAAGGGGACCCTAACAGACCCCCAAATACTAAGATCCGTGTTTAATAGGGACACCGAAAAGAGTACTCCTAATTATGGGAAATTCCAAAATACGTTGGAGAACAACAGCCATGCATGATACAAGGTACTGCTTCTGGATCAGGTTTAAGATGCCCAGTATGAGCTATAATGGAGAATCAACTGGAAAACTTAGGGACCATTAAGGGTGGACGTACGGATCCATTGAGTTTAGTAGAGTTCCTAATAAGTTCCGAATAGGGACTCAAGTCCATTAATTGGCTGGTGAACATTGACTGTAGCTCAGATTAGAATCATTGCAAGGTGGTCATGAGCTATTCCGAGCTCAGCTAACGGCCAAGACAACTGCATCCTGGCCTGACTGTTGCATGCTTTGCTTGATCCCACAGCAAGAAGCCGAGCATGTCATGCAAGCTTTGCCAGTAGGACTATACTTCTATGCCTTGTCATGTTTGCCCCGTTCAAAGGTATCAGATTTGAAGCAGGAGCTCTTTGGCAAAATTGGGACAGGACTGGCACTTCAGTTACACCATCTGACCCTGGCTGAGGCTGTCACTGTTGTTGCGCCTGCCGACCAGTGAGCAACAGCTGGCTCTTTCTCGTCAGTTCCTGCAGGAACCCGCAAATGAGCCCATGGTCGGCCCTTCATCATTTAGGATCCCTATTATAATCCTTATTAAATACCGCATTATACTATAGTAGGTTCCATTTTCTTTTCCATTATGCCTTTATTCCCGATTAAATACTCAATTCCCTATGAAATACGTATTATACTATAGTAGTTTCCATGTTCTTTTCCATTATCCCTATATTCCCTGTTAAATGCTCAATATACTATAGCAACTATAGTAGTTTCCATTCTCTTTTCCATTGTCCCTATATTCCCTATTAAAAGGAGACTTGTTGCTTGCTCTTTGCTAGAGGACGATACGCTGCAACTTGGAGAGCTTGAGGCCCTGCTCAAGGCCTACTGCCAGCAGTCACCTGCCTCTCCTTCTAATCGGGAATATAGGGATAAGGGAAATTGAAATGAAAACAACTAAAATGTGTAGGGTATATTTTGGGGGTTATATAGGCATAATAGAAAAGGAATTGGAAACTATTACAGTATAATGGGGTATTCAATGGGGGTTATATATAATCCTAAACCCTAAACCCTATACTCACAGAGGCAGAAGTCGAGCTCTACGGCATGCTCGCCTCGGACTTGCAGAATTCGACGCGCACCTTGAGCCTTGTCTCGCAACAGGACGCTACGAATACTCTGACTTGCGGTGGGGATAGCAGCGGTGGTTTCAATGCATGCGCAGCAGTCGAGCAAACTGCCTTCTGAGCTCCATTCCATGCTTATTCTTATTGTTATTATCACTATGATTACTCTTGCTTCAGGGAGACGCGTGATGGTTTGGATTTCGTCCTCTTCGTAGCTGCCGGCATCTATGAAGCCCAAGCACCGGAGGACAGATTTCACCCTGCGCCTCGCACTTTGTCTGGATACAAGGTAATAATAGTATTAGTAGTGGTAATACTTAAGAACAGCTAGTAGTAGTAGTAGTAGTAGTAGTAGTAAAAGTACACGATACTTGTAGTAATAACAGTACTCAGTAATAACAGTTGTATGATAGAATGGTTGAGGGTGGAGGCATAGCAAGTGTGCCAACCTGCCACAGGAGTTCACCACCTGCGGCTTTCTGGTCCCAAGGCTTACTGGTGCTTAGTAGGGAATAAGGGAATAAAACCTTTTCATACATATACACATATATATATATATGTATATATACATGCCCATGTTCCCTACTGACCCTAAACCCTGAACCCTATATATGTGTGAATATAACCCTAAGCACCCGTAAGAGGCTTTCCCTGGCATTTCCTCAGCTGCCTTTGGGGCAGCGAATCTTTGTGGAGACCGTGGAGGAAGGCCTGCTTTGAGCAGCCATGGTGCAGGATTCACTACGAGGGTTCAGGGATTAGGGTTCTGTAATGGGGTTACGTAGGGTTCAGGTTTTGGGGTTTAGGGAATCCCCCATTTGAGCTATAGTCTAAACTATGTTTATATGATGGATTATATAGAGGACTGCGAAACGGGGTATTTAGGGGCATACTGGGAGTTTAGACTATGGCTCATACACCCTGTTCTAGAATCGTAGCTTCCGTTATCCCCACACACATAGCTATAGTCACTATATACCCTGTTATATTTGACAGTAGCTTCTGTTCGGTTTTCCAGTATCCACAAACATAACCCACTGGTCCGTTTCAGATGGAATTGTATTGTTGTTATATTAATGAATATTCTCAGTATTATTATTACTACCATTGTTAGTAGTTCTATTTTATTGCTCTTATCACTAGTATTATGATTACTGGTCTTATTGCTATGAATATTACTAGTATTTGTACTCTTATTCAAACTTTTGTATGGGAGCCGCAGGTGCATGGGCGGAGCTGGCAGGCGTTCGCCCGGGCGACGAGATCCTGGCTTTGGCGGGCCGTCCCTGGGCGAGGGAATGACAAGTGACACCAACAATAGTAGTAGTACGAAGGGAAGAGTGGGGTTCTAGTAGTAGCAATGATCCTAGCAAAAAGAATATGAGTAATCTAAACCCAGCAAGATTAGTAGTTATCAGAAAAGTTGTAACTCAACAGCTGCACTAAATAGTAGTGATAATCACATCCAGCCAGGCATTTATACTTTGTCAGTGATGTTTCAGAGCTTCACCACTTTCCCGATTCCTTAGACGTGCTGTGATCTGCACAGCTCCAAAAGATAAGGCCGTGTCGCCAGCCTTGCCAGAGGTGAGCAGGTGCCCAAGTTGACTGCGCGGATCAAGTGTTTGCTGGTCTTTCAAGCAGTCAGGTTTAGCTCACTGCTGGAGAGCACTCTTCGAGGGAGGGGGATGATCCAGCCAGAGGCTCAGCTCTCTTCCTTCCAGCAAGACCTCATCTTTACTTCAGACTTGGAAGAGTCTAGGCAAGTAAACGCCCTTGAAGCTTTTACAGTAGTTCTGCACAGCTGAGGCTCTATAGAGGAGGGTTGCAGTCGTACTTTGCTGACAGTCTCGTGGGTGCAGACTCTGTTGGACACATTTTCTTTTTTGCTTGGCTTGCAATGCGCCTGCAGGTCAGATCAGATGTTTGTTTTCATTAGACATGCCAAGTACAGTTCTAAAATGGCGAACATGGTTCTTCGCATTGGTTTGTCATGAGGCTGTTCATCTGTCAGCGTGAGCAGCAAAACAGAAGAGATTGCCTCCGCTCCTCGTCGTGAGATGTGAAGGTTGCACTGTATCCTATCAGTCTCGGTTGGATGAGTGAACCACTATATACTCCCAGTTTCCATGTCATTTTCCACTTGATTCTCCATTCTCACTGTAATCCTAAACCCTGAAACCCTAAACCCCAAACCCTAAACCCTAAAACCCTAAACCCTAAACCCTACATCCCTTAGATGCTGCAGGTGCTTTGTGTCATTGTGAGCCTGGAAGATGCTGAGCTTTTGGCTGCCCGCGTGCGAAGCAGTACACAGATCTGTGGATTGTCTGCATGAAGAGGCGTGAAGGAACTTTGCCGTTGCAGTGTGCGGGGGTTTAGCCATGACTATGACTGAGATGAGCTGAAGCAGCATGTGGAGCGACTCCTCCACATTCCGAGCTCCTGTCATCAGCCGCACGGCGGCAGATTGCAAGACGACCTAAAGCCTTCCAACTTAAAGTTGACTTAAAGTTGATACAATCAGTCCATTGTCCACCCTGAACCCCTAAACCCCGAAACCCTAAACCCTAAACCCCAAACCCCTAAACCCCTAAACCCTAATACAATCAGTCCATTGTCATTGTCCATGGCAGGGATTTCAAGTGACCGGTGATACCAGCTTTGCCCAGGCTGCTCTTCCAGAACAGGCCGCTGGAGGTCGCTTGTCGTGCCAGCTGAAGGGCGTTCGCCACAGCCTTTGAGATTCCAAGGACACATTAGGGTTATATTGGGGTTATATTGGGATAATGGAAAATGAAACGGAAACTGCTATTTAGGGTTTAAACCCCAAACCCCTATTAAACCCTAAGTCTAAATAATAGTTTTGAGATTCCAAGGATGAGGCCATGCTCGATGGCGGCTTCGGTCAAGGGGTGCGACTGGCCCTGCTGCGACGCTCTTGAGCAATTCATCAAAAAGGGGTTTAGGGTTTAGAGGTTTAGGGGTTTAGTATATAGATGGATGTCAGGAGTGGCGATCTTCACGCAAGAGGAGTTTGGAGAAGCATTGGCAGGGAGCCCAGTTCTGCACAGACTTGTCCAGAGAATTTTCTTCTCAGTGGTTCTTAGTAGGAAATAGGGGAAAATAACTTCTATATAACCCCTACAGGATATATTCCCTTTTTCCCTACTATAACACCAATGCGCACCCCTTCATAATGTTGTAGTTTCCATGTTCTTTTCAACCATCCCTATATAACCCCAACTTTTTCCCTGTGACATGTCAGGCCCTGAACCCTAAACCCCAATCCCTAAACCCTAATCCTAACCCTGACCCCCACCCCCCAAAAAAACCTACACCGCCCAGAAGTCGGAAGTTCAAGCAGAGATGGGGCTGGCCTTCTGCGAACCTGCCTTCTTGCCAGCAGGCCTGCATCCCTCCGTAAAGTTGGGGGTTGGGGTTTAGGGTTT